ATATATATATATATATATATAATGGGTGTAACAACAAAATTGTTCGAATCGTGTAACATCATGGAATAATTGTCCATCTTATAAAATGTTTAATATCCAAAAATGACTAAACTATTTTAAACTAAATTGAGTTATTTTTTTGCAGGTTTTCAGATAAGACGTTTCACACACACACACACACACACACACACACACACACACACACACACACACACACACACACACACATATATATATATATATATATATATATATATATATGATAACACGTTTAGCCATCTTGATACCATTTGTTGTAAGAATCACTAAAAAGTAGAATAGGTTAAAGTCATTTTATGTCAGCGCCACTACCTCTTCCCAACTGAGCAATGACGTGAGGAAAAAGATGATTCAGGCCTTCAGCAATGGTGCCAACATTCATACTTTGGTTTACATCTTCAAAGTCCATTCAAGAACCATGAAGAGAACGGTGAATAAGTTTAAAAAAGATGTAACAGTAAAGACGAAAACTGGACCAGGAGGTCTAAACAGCAAGAGGCATTATCATTTCAACTTAGAGCGAAATATACATTCTTATAGTTCAAAATTGCGACTAATAGTGTTATAAAACTTCGGAGAATTCCATTAAGATATCTGTAATCATGTTCAAAGCTTGATCTAACAATTGGAGAATTTTGCTGTTACAGTCGGTATAAATATATTTAGGAATGAGTCAATGTGCAATATGTTGTATATTTTAGGCGGAGGAAGGGATTTAAAAAAATTATATATATATATATATATATATATATATATATATATAGATAGATAGATAGATAGATAGATAGATATATATATATATATGTATAGGTAACTATACTGTTTCGAAAAACCTTCGAACTTTTGATTTGCCAATAATCAAATCAATCTCGAAGGGCGATTCCTGACGATTTGCTTAGGTGAAACCTGGGTAGATATGTTTTGCTCACTAGGTTTTATATATATATATATATATATATATAAAGAAAGAACAGTAAGATATATAATCCGGTGTTCTTATAGACATTTTATTTTTACAAAATAGTGCTCAATGTAAATTTAAAAGATTATTATTATAAATTAATTGATTTCAAATGGTTTTTCGCTACAGTTCTAACCATGTTTCCATTTTTTTGAAACATGGTTAGAAACTGTAGCGAAAAAAACATATTTTAAATCAATTAATTCATATATATATATATATATATATATATATATATATATATATATATATATATATACCATTCGCAGACAGTACAGCTCTCAATGCGTCTAGACAACCAAATGCCTCAAGCCCGGACCATCCGATTTGGTGTCAGTCAGAGCTTCTACCACTGAGCCATCTTCACTCGACAGAATGAGTCAGCTAAATCTAGCGTATTGTTTTTATAAACGTAAACAAACGCTAAGCAGCCAAAGTGCTCCATTCATTTGACTGAAGAGCTTCGCATTTACTAATTTTTAGAATTAGTTTGTCATCGTGTTTTCCATAGTATCAGGTATCTGATGTAAACACCAGAAATAAACTACAGGTTTTACTTAAAATTAATAATGGTGACAATTTGTATTTACCGAAGGAAAACCATAAAATGCTTCCCTTGTTGAGATAAGAAAAACATTCATATCCGGAGGTTGCTAAGATCGGAGAACGAGAGTACGAACGAGATTTCATTTAATTGCTTAATGCTGATTGCAGTTTATTGCTACAATTATTCTGTTTTATTATTCCTTATGGTCGTTAATCTCTTATTGTGCTTAATGTGATCTCCGACAATGACTTTTATCGCAGTTTATTGTCACAATTGTTCAACTTTTATTATTACTTGTTCTTGTTAATCTCTTGTTTCATCTAACAAGATTTACGATCAGAACGAGTTTTCTTTTCATCGCTTAATATTTATTGCATTGTATGGTAATAATTGTTCTCGTTTGTTATTACCTATAATGTTCTTAATATCTTAATGCACATAAATTATAAATTATAAAGTATACAGGGCGAGGCAGAGAGGACTATGATACAGAAATCCGTTCGTTGCCTCAAACTATATATATATATATATATATATATATATATGAAGAAATTTTGAAAAAACAAACAAAAATCCTTAAATGTAGTTAAATGAAAGAAATGTCGACGTCTGACGTTTCGGTTTATTAAACCTTTTCAAGACAATATTCATCAAAATACAATTCAGTTCAATATGACAAATACGATGGACATAAAACACAAGTCTTATTCAGAACAGATAACTGAAAATTTTTAAAATGATCAGCTTTCCGTCTAACATGGTCACGCCGTCGTCACATGGGCGACGCTTTCATAACGTATTCCTAAAAGTTTTGATTATTTTGAAATGAAAAAAAAAAGAAAATGAAAAGAATTCTATTAGGTTCTAAAATTCTTATGTATGCTTGTCGAGCATCAATCTCGCTAAAAAGGGAAATATTAAAGAAACCAGGTCTAGTATTCACCGTGCGTGAG